GAGACTTTCTCTGTGTTCACTTGGATGAAAATTGGGCGGTTGCATCACATTCTTACTTGGAGTCTGAAGGGGTCGCAGCTTTGGTTAGAGCAGTCCTACGGCAGCTGCACATTCCAAAGAAGCATCAAGGGCAATGGGGCCTTTCGAAGGCCTCGCACTTGGTTCCAGGCGAAGCCGTGGCGTACTGGTCGGGACATTCGGCGAGACATGTCCTGCCGTCACTTGCTGCAGCGATTGGCGTCCCGGACGAGAAGATTAACTTTTTGGGGCGTTGGGCGGCCGCCAAATCTGCATCCTCAACCTATGTACAGACAAGCAGGCAAGTGATCCATCAGGTCCAGTCCGCGATTTGTACTTCGCTGCTGGAGGGCGTGCCGAAACCGGGCTATATCGAGGAAGAGCTGCTTCAGGACCTCAATGAATTTGGTGTGGCCCGCGGCCTTACAAATGGTCTCCTTATTAAGGCCCATACAGTTTTGGAGTGGGATCGGGAGAGCCAGACTTGGTCATTGGGCGGGAAATTCCCCGCAATCAGCGTCGAAGCTGCTTCATTAGATAGGGCATTAGCCGAGGCACGAATCACTGAGGCGCCACATGAGGCAGAGCCAGTGCCCGATGCACCTTTCTTCGTCACAGTCAGCCGGAGTGGGTTCAGACGTCTTCATGTTAGCAAAACCTGCGCAGTTCGTCAGGAGCGTTGCCTTGAGTGGACATCTTTGCAGCAGGTCACAGCTGAGTGCGCAGATGCAGTGTGCAAGTTGCGCAAACCTAGGCTGGACTCGCTTGAAGACATTTCTAGTAACAGTGCTTCTTCTGATTCCGCGCAGGAGCTGCAGTCTAGCTGAAGAGTGCGCAAATTTTGCAGCTGCTTTGCGGGTGCATGTTGCTGTTGTTTCTTGCGCATGTCTTCTTCAGAGTCAGCCATCTAGAACACGAGTGCGCCGAGTTTTGGCAACATTGCCATGCCCGAGTCAAAGTGGGCAAAGTGCCAGGAATTGCCGGTTGGCAGATTCATTTGGGAACAGCCGAGTCAGAGTGGCTGCCCTGGCTAGGCTCCAGGGAATTGTCTGTGTCTTGCGTGCAAGTGCTTTAGCAAAGTTCAGGCTCAGGCAATTTTGTTTCCCCCTCTTGCTCCCAAGATGGAACTGCCTGACGGAGTCACAGAAGATGCCGCGGTGCTCTACCTGTCTTCTAAGGTGGACTCGAGTCTTGCACACATGTGGCAAGAGGCTGGTGTCCGAATTTCTCTGCAGTATAAGCTTGGTCAGAACTTCACCACCGTTAGGCGATTCGCCTCATATGAGGACGACCGGGCCAAAGTCCGAAATGCTTTGAAGACAGATTTTTTTTGCACTCGATGGGGCAGCCGATCTTCCCAGTCGGGCCGCAGTTGCCGCTATCATCAGTGCATGGGAGTCCTGCCAGCACTTTGCAGTCAAGGAGGCCGAATTGAAAGCAGCAGCAAAGGTCCTTGGGGTCACGCGCCCAGTGACACAAACTGATCGCATGGCGATGAAGGTCTCATACGAGAAGACGTATGGCACTATCGAGGACTCCGTTGAACCTTCGGATGACTATCTATCGAGCAAACTCGAAGAGCTCGAGTCTCACGAGCCTTGCGCATCACAGCTATCAGAGGTGACCAGTAAGAAGAACGCCGGCACGATGGGCATTCAAACTTCCGTGGACACATCCGGCCACGTTCGCATAGTCAAAAGCAAGCAGAAAGACAACTTCGTCAAGTCCTCAAGGTGGAAGGAAACACATGGTGCTACTTGGCAGCGAAATTCAGGAATCGTGAAATGCTGCGCGACATGACCCCAAGAGTTTGGGAGGGCTACACCAATTTCCTTCTGGGCGAGCGCTGCTTCCTCATGAAGATCCACGGGGGCGGAGTCAAAGGCATGGAGGGCTCCATGCTTCGGCCACCATGGCACATTCTTCTCAGTTTCGAGTACGAGCTACGGAAGGAGGCCATCAAGAAGGCCCATCATGATAACCGCCCACTCAAGGACACCCTTGCAGAGGTCGTCAAGGACCCAGAGCTCAAAGAACGATTTTTCACAAGCCCCATTGCGTTGCAACCGAGAATGTTGGAGAGCGGGCCAGGCCAAGGGCAAGCCGTCCAAAGGCAAGAGCGACAAGGCAGGCAAGAGTAACAATGGCCTCGTGGACCGCACGCCGGATGGCCGCGAAATTTGCTTTGCATTCAATGCGCAGGGCTGCGATGGCACTTGCGGCAGAATCCACATTTGCAGAGTGCGCGGCTGCGGTGAGGCACACGCAATGTGGGAGCATTTCCGACGGCTCTCGCTCAAGGGCAAGCCAGACAATGCCACTGCGGCAAACTGACATGACGACAAGACGCTTCGAGTGCTGTATTTATTTGCAGGGCATGCGCGCGAAGGTGACATCCATGAGGCCCTCAATCAAATTTGCACGCAGATGGGATGGCATTTGGTCATCCAAGAATTTGACACTCTGCGCGGGGCGGAGTTCGACCTTAGCTCATCCTCAGTCTGGGCTGACCTGTTCACTCAAGTCGAGGCCGGGTCTTGGGATGTTATCATTCTTTCACCACCGTGTAGCACTTTCAGCAGAGCTAGATTTCACTTTGCGGGGAAGTTTGGCCCCAGGCCGCTGCGCACCAAGGCATACATGCGTGGTTTTCCGTGGCTCCGCAATGCTGACAAGGCAGCTGTGGACCTTGCCAACTTCTTCGTCGACCAGTGTGTCAGGCTTGCCAAGCTTCAATGCGCCGTAGGCGGGTTCTTCCTTCGAGCATCCCGAACAGCTAGGCAAGGTCCACACTAACGAGATCCCAGGCTCAATTTTGGGACTTCCCAGAGTTGCGAGAGTTGGTGGAGCAGACGTCTTCCGCAACCTGGCCCATTCATCAATGCGTCTTCGGCGCAGAATCGCCCAAGCCAACACGCCTGGCAAGCAACCTGCCAGGTGCCATTAGGCGCGGTCAATGCTGGCCCATGCTTGATTCAGAAGGCTCATACATGGGCCCGTTGGGCCACTGCCCTCATCACCACACAGAACCCCTGTTAGGGCAGTCAGCAACTGGCTGGAAAACAAGTAGTTCTGCAGCATACCCAGCTTTGTTTTGCACTTTCCTTGCTCGCCTGATCTTCTCTGCAACGCTGCTCTGCGCCAGGTTGCACATGGCATGGACTCCCTGCATTACCACCCGGCCGAGGCCTTGGCGGAAGCCATTCTTCATTCAGGCCACCTGCCCCTAAAGGAAGATGTCTGGGCATGTTTTGAGCTGCTGCCTCGCACTAGGGCACACAAAGCAGAGGGTTTGCATTCTTCGCTGGCGCGAACTGGGAAGCAGCCGGCCTCGTGCTTCGGCAGAACTCATATATCTTTCCCATGTCTTGCACTCATCTGCAAGTTTATCCGCCACTTGGATAAAGCCCACGAAGTTTGCAGCTTTCGCGATCATGCAGAACGTGTGCAGCTCACCCCACCGGGATGCGCAACAGCTGGAGACCAAATCTGGTGGCCAGCAATGTCTGACTTCGAGCAAAGGCGGGATTTGGCACGAGTTCCCAGGCGGCTCCGACTGGCGAGAATTGAGAGCCAGCGGCGTCGAGGAGAAGTCATCTCCCTCCAACGCCAAGGTCTCCGCCAGGACACACTTTCATTCCACAGAGCCGTGGCAGGGCACCGACGCATTATCATTGCCGACCTCCCGGAGCAGCTGGAGCATCTTTCATCGTCTGATGCTGCCCATTGCCGGGCCTAGACTTCCACTTCCTTGACTAGGGGTGCGTAGCCTCGTCGCCATCAACAGAACATCACGGGGCCCAGGTTTCAGGTCAAGGTGCCCAAAGTTCCCAGGCTTCAGGTCACTCTGCCCGAGGTGCACAGCAGGTCGCAGGTCGACGTCTCTGACACACAGGGGTACGCAGCTCACGGGCCAGGGTTCATCTCTACCTCCCACGGTCCGGCTAGGTCTCGAACATTCAGGTGCAGCAAGCGCGCCAGTCCCAGGCGAAGGTAGATCAGTCGCCACAACCGCTTAAGCAACATACGCGCGAGCCTTCTACCAGAGAAGGTCAAGTTGCGGAGTCAAATTCTGCGTCTCCATTCTCTGAACCTGAGGATTCAACAACTTCGACCTGATTGGTTGCCTGGAGCCGAACCTGACCTGCGATCCACACCTGAAGTACGACGGTCTGCGGTCTTTGCGGGACTTGCACCTACTGCAGCTTGACCTGTGGTCTGGTGCACCTGAAGTTCTCTTCTCGAGAGGTTTGTAAGGAGCACTAGGGAATGCTGGGGAGTGCTCTTTTTAGCTTCGCCACCAGGATCCGTGACTTAGAACACGTTTGTAAACATGTTTTATCCTGTAAGTCTAGTCAGCACATAAGTACTAAATGCATTATACATACCCACACAGACTTTAACAAAAAATCCTACAAGATTCCAGCCACATTCTCCACGACGAGTGTTGCGTGCTTGACCCGTACGACACACTGCGGCATTGTAGTCAAAGTAGAAGAGGCTGGCACGCATACTGAGGTAACTTTGGGGCTTTCTAATCTGGGGTAACTTTTTTGGGTGTCCTTCTAAAGCAAGACGATCTTGGGGTCTATCTCCCCTGTTGCTTTGGGTAGCTTAGAAGGGAGCTCGCCAACACGGCCGGACTCAGAGGGTGCACTGAAAGTGCCACAGGGTCATCTCTTCCTTGACCAGCCTCTCCCCAAGCCTCAAGTCTTCAGAAAGAAGATGAAGTTCCGTAAGTTGGATGACACCTCTTTTGAACCAGACATGGCTCAGCAGAACTTTCAGCAGACCAACTGGAAGAGCATTTCCGAAGATGAGCGCTTAGGGCGCATCGTAGCAACAACAGAGCCACGCGAAGCAGAAACGTGGCGACAGAGTCTTTATCGCAGCAATGGAGGCGGTGTCCAAACCTAACGGTGACATTCGTCCCCTCCACGATGGCACACAGTGGTTCAGCCTTGAGATCGAGCCGAACGATTTGCCTTTCTTGTTCAACGGAGAGTCCGGCTGGCCTCGACGTCAGCAGAGTTCCTCACATCGTACAGGGACAAGTCAACACCCGAGGTTCAGCGAAAGGGACTCACAACAAAGTGGCCACTTTTCGGTTTGCAGATGTGTGCGCACGCAGAGATGAATAAGGTCAATAAGCGGTTGGTCCTCAAAGGCCTAGAGACGAGAATAGCAATGCCGACGCGTTAACTAACTCTGACTTTAGTGGGTTTCGTTCTGGCCTTAGGGTTCTCTAGTCCTTCCACTCTTCTTGGGGTTGATGCATCCCTGACGAAAGTACGGCAAGGTTTTTCAGAGGCACGGAGCACATTAGTCAGCCTGCCGCGGGAGGCAAAGTGCACGAAGAGAGAAAAGCAGGCGACCAAGACAGCATGGTGAGTTCCACAGCCGTGGCATCACCTGCGGAGGGGGGGACACATGATGCCATGTCCGTGTCACTCCCCAAAGGTTTGAGATTCAGCAGCAAGTGCACACCGATTGAAAAAATACCGGGACCGCGCTGCATTTGTGGAACTGTGTTGCAGACATGTTGATCTGTGCGCTTGTGATTTGTTTTTCAGTCATGCTATTCGGTGCAACTTGTTGAATGCGCTTTTCAACTTGACGTCTACTCTGGAAATTGATCCTTGTGCTCCCTAAGTGTTTCCCCTTAACCTTCACTGAGTTTGGCTCAATCCTCATTGGCTCAAGGCGTTCAGCTCGCGTATTGGACTTGTCCAAGCGTGAGTCTGGGAGCCTTGAGGGTGGGGGGCGGGTCACACTTGGTGTGTTGCGTTTTGTCAGGTCCGCTTAAGAAAAAAACAAAGTCCACTTTCTTGGAAATTGATTAAGTTGCCGAATTTCTTGCCATCGCACATTCTTGAAGTTCGTTCGCTATTTTCTGCACTGGAGTTGAAGCTTGACACTTATTGTTCTTGCAAAGTCTCGGCCAACAAAGTTTTGCACCCATCCCAGCCCACCCTGGTGCCTTCCAGGCGATAACGACACAGAACTTGCGTTTCGCTTGTGCTGAATGGAAGCTTCGCAGGAAAGGGCCCGCAGAGCGGCTTTCAACCCCCTACCTGCGGGTTATCTGTTCTAAGCATTCAACGTACTCTTACCTTCGTGCTTCTGCAATTTGGGTTCTGGCAACTTTAGTCCGCAGATGCGGTTTGTGTGCTGCTGGGGGGGGGACACATGATGCCATGTCCGTGTCACTCCCCATGGCAGGTTGCAAGGTTGCACAGCAGGTCAAAGGTTTGAGATACAGCAGCAAGTGCACACCGATTGAAAAAATACCGGGACCGCGCTGCATTTGTGGAACTGTGTTGCAGACATGTTGATCTGTGCACTTGTGATTTGTTTTTCAGTCATGCTATTCGGTGCAACTTGTTGAATGCGCTTTTCAACTTGACGTCTACTCTGGAAATTGATCCTTGTGCTCCCTAAGTGTTTCCCCTTAACCTTCACTGAGTTTGGCTCAATCCTCATTGGCTCAAGGCGTTCAGGCTCGGCAATATCGTTTGGTATGAGCGTAGGACACCTCCCCCGAGAAATTATCTTTGGGCTCAGTCCACCTATCTTAGTAACGGGATGTGTTTGTTCAAATATTCCTTTTATGGTAAGGATTCTATGTGGTTATTTGCTTCCAGAAGAGGATACAGTTTCGAGTTGGAAACCACCAGACGTGAATCTCCTACACTGTACGGGGTTGTCTGTAAAGTGGTGGCCTCCAAAGGAGGCGGGCCGGGAGACCGCTGGCATCTTGTGAAGAGCCACGATCGCACGTGGCAATGCAGGGGCCCAGCCCCACCCACTTACGTTACGGGACACTTACGTTATGACATGCCAAGCGGCTACCAGGCTACCAACACCGTGAAGCTAACGGGGGTAGCTCCAAAAGAGGATTTCGCTCCCAGGAAGCTTATGACAGGCGAAAGGAAGCCTGGCAGTCCTCCCGCGCGATAGGCAAGAGAGAAAATGGAAATCGGAAATCAAGGATTTCACCGTGAGGGTGCATGGAGGGCCAAATCCTCAACCCCCGACCTTCCCAGTGTCGAAAGATTTCGGAAATCTCAGGCACGCGTTCCTACTAATTCTCAGCGAGTTCATGTGCATAGTAACAGATCTGCGTCATCTAACATTAGTGTCCCCCTCCCGGCCCTCCCCACTAACACGGATGTACATGCCATGACTTGGAATGTAGAGGGCCTCCGTGAGGCGGCCAAATATGATGCTATCCTATCCTTTTGTAGGACAAAATCAGTGTCCCTCCTGTGTGCTCAGGAGATTAAATCGGAATCTTCACACTCTTTCATAAAAAATGGCTGGGAGATCCTGATGTCAGGTCTCCCGACGGATAAGCATCATGGAGTAGGTTTCTGTGTTTCCCACCAGCTAAGGTTGCGTGTTACGAATTTTGTACCGCGCTCCCCTAGGATTGCTGAGATTACATTCCATACTTTGCCTCACCCAATTACCATCCTGAATGTATATGCCCCAAGTATGGTAGATGACCCAGATAAGGATCGTGAAAGGAAAGCAGATATCTGGACTATTCTAGAAGAAATTGTTGCTTCCCGCCATAACCTAGACCACCTCGTTGTTCTTGGGGATCTCAACGCACGATTAGATTCCGCGCTTGATAAGGAAAGACTTCACATTGGTCCAGCTGTGGTGGGCCAACGTATCTCAGTCTCTGACGCTGACAGAGACAATGCAATTTTTCTGCTAGACTTTCTTCAGGCTAATAATTTCACCCTCCCTCAGACCTTTGCTGATCTCCCTTTTAAAAAGAAGCTCACCTATAAAGAGATGCACTGTTCGGAGTTCGGACCCCCTGATCTCCTTTGAAAGTGTCCAAGATTGGACCACACTAGATTATGTAGCTATTCCCCTAAGATCCAAGAAGTCCTTACGGTCTCGGGCTTTACTTTTCAACAATTGATAAACTCTCGGCATCTTCCTCTGTCAATACACCTAAGGGCAAAGTTTCTTCCCACTCAAAAGGATCAGATCCCTCCAAAGAGGGACGTCAGGTTTCTCGCCTCCTTCTACGATAAAGTTGAATCCACCCTTCTATCAAAGACTGACAACGCGTTAGATTTTGCTTCCTCCCCCACTAGAACCTTCATTGCTTATACAGATGGTTCATGCCCCAATAATCGTGCAGTGTCCTACCATAACCCAGCAGGCTGGGGTTTCGTGGTTACTCATGATTACCCAGAAGATGAACACCCTCCCTCCTCAGCGGAGTGGACCGGATCTTGGGGACCGGTCAAATCAGACCCTCAATCCAGTGAAGGTCTCTCAGTTGGTTCTAACAATACAGGTGAATTACGTGCAGTCATAGAGCTCTTTGATTATTTGTTGTATTATATTCCTCTTTAAGCCGAGGTGACGCAGTAGTTGTGCAGACAGTCCCTTTTGCAAGGCAGCTCTCTTCCTACCGCCCATCCGCAATTGGTTTCTTTAGCGCAGCAATACTACACTGCTTGTCGCGCTCAATTTAGGTTATCTTTTCAGAAGGTCCCAGGCCATCATGGAGTGCCGGGTAACGAACATGCCGACCGCCTCGCTAAGAGAGGGGTCACCTCCACGGGTTCCATAGGCCGCTACTCTACCACTGCCTTGATAGCCGTAAATGTGACTGAATCAAAGGCCTTGGACCAATCTAGGAATAGCGCGTGCAAAGGAGAGGGTTGTCTTTCGTGAACTTCCAACAAGCGGCGCAAAATGTGTATAGGCTGAGTCGTTGATCTGGATTTACGAAACCCGAACTGACGAGGGCGAATTCTGTTGTCTAGGTAATGGGAAAGCCTAGACTGTATCATGGAAGCAAAAAGCTTGTATGAATACTGGTTCGGGAAATAGCCCGTAGGTTTTAACTATCATAACGACTTCAGAGAAAAGCCAGCTTGAGGGTACCTGTTTTGATGCGAAGCAATGATTGTAATGATCAAAGAGATACATACGCAAGATGTAGGGGGCATGTTTATATAGCTCACCAACCAGTCCATTAGGACCTGGCGCCTTAGCGGACTTGATCTTGCGCAAAGCTAAGTTCAGCTCATGCGCAGTGAAAGGAGAATTCATATCCAAGACTGGAGGAGCGCGGGCGGTAACGGGGACCGGGGAGTCCGTTTCAGAATACCAGACCTTGTCCGCCAAATAGTCCGCGAAAGTAGCTGCTCTGGCCGTCTTAGATAGTAGCTTGCCCTCTGGATTATACAAAGCTGCAGCTCTAGGCTTAAAGGATGAGCGTATAGAATGAGCATGGTCCCACTGCTGAACATTAGTTCCGTGAAAGTCTGCCTCTAGGTAACGGGAGATGAAGACCTTCTTGTCCTTACGCGCGGCCTTCTTGATCGTTTTGCGGGCCTGTTTGAGGTCATCGATATCTGTAAACTGCCTTGACTGGAAAGCCACGATGAGTTGTAAGGTGTCCTCCGAAATCCAAGGTTTCTTAGCAGATAACGGGAGGTGAGGAATCAGGCTTAAGTTGTCCGTTAGTTGGGAAACAATAAACTTATCCTGGTCCTCAACAGAATACTCATTCCAGGCGTGACTGTCAAACCCAATGTCTGGGGGTTGAAGAGGACGCGAGGGGGCCATGTCCTTTATGGGAGTTTCCGACCACGTTATTGAAGTTGTCATGTCTCTGTATCAGTCTCCTTCTTTTGTGGGTCGGGGTTCACAGCAAGTATCTTCCCTTAACAAGGGGCTCCGACAAGGATGCCCTCTTTCCCCATATTTGTTCAGTATGGTGCTCACCCATCTCTTCAATGACGTTGAACTTAAATACGAAAATACTTTCGGTCTGTTATCGGGTGTTATCAATACCCGTCTCCACTTTGGGGTTTAGAGTACGCGGATGACACAGTTCTCCTTTCCAATTCTGCAGAGCAGATTACTAGAATTCTTCATCTTATCCAGTATGAAGTTTTTAAGCGGGGACTGATCCTCAACGAGGATAAATGTGAACACCTGCGCCTCAATTCAGAGGCCAGTATTCATTACGCCCAGTCTCCTTACCATGACCCATGTAGCTGTGCGATTTGCACAGGCGTATCAAAACCATCAGACCTTGTTCTTGTCTCCTCAGAGATTAAATATCTAGGGGTATTCCTCTCCGCTACTGGCTCGCATAAAAACGTTAGCTATAGGATCTCCGAGGCCACACATGCTTCGAAGCTGTTGAAGCCTTTACTCTCACATGCGTCTCTACCCCCTCGTGGAAACTTACAGTCTATCGTTCTATTGCCGAGGCCATCCTCATGTATGCTATGGATAGCGAGCTTTTATCACAAGCTCAGCTTACCAGACTGAATGCTGTACACTTTAAGTCCATTCGTAGTGTCTTTAAGGTTAAATCATCATACTACCATAGAGTTATCGACCCCTCTGACGCTGATTGCTCTTATGAGTATCTTGGCTTGGCGTACCGGTCCAAGCGAGTTGTCACTCCTTCTCAGCTATATTGACATGACCGTCTCCGACTATTTGGCCATGTGCTAAGACACCCGGACTCCCTTGAGTTTCAAGCGGCATTTATGCCGTCGGGTGCCTACCGCCATACAGCAGGCCCCAATAGATTGGGGCGACCCAGACTACACTGGGCTGAGTCTTGCATGGTGGAATCCTCCAACCGTATCAACTACGTATTATCTGACAATCCTCCTGCCCATTCCGATATCCATAACTCTTATTTTGAGATTCCTAGTGCCTCGTCAGTGAGAATAGTACATTCAGGACAAAGTCTCGTCTGGATGGACAACACTTTGCTCTATAGGAAGTCTAAGCAATTCGCCGCTGATAGAGACAGATGGACTACCCTAATCCATAAGCCAAAGCGTGCATAATTTCTCTTGTTGATTAGCCTAAAGCTGAAAAAATCGTCGGTGCTGATGGGCTTCGGAGCAAGCCTTGCGCAGAGGAAAAGATCTCGGATTTCCAAATTCTTCGACGACGCTCTTAATCCATCACGGCGACCTTGACTTTCCGAACCATTTGAAGCACCCCTGAGACACCCCCAGATGTCCCATAAACACTACGAGGTCTATATACATCTCTCCGACATGAGAAAGAGTGTTCGCTCAGCTGAATTTAAGGTGCACGCTGATATTAATAAAGATTTGAGAAGCACCGGGCAGGCACCAAGGCGCGAAGAGCATTGGCGCGTGACGCACGTCGATAGTGAAAGGGTTCGAATGCATTTATATTGTACAAATGGTTTTGTTTTGGTCTGAAATCACATTTTTCCCATGTCAAACCTTGTGCATGCAATTGGTTTTTGATCGAACAAAGGCTTTGGCTTTGTTGTTTGGACTTGTGCCGTACTGCGCACGTTGTGGCTGGCTTGCCACGGAGATTCATTGACACGTTTTGCAATGGATTGTCGTGCCGCGCGCCATTGCGAATTTGAATAAGGGGGCGTGGTGCAAGTGGCTTGAGGTTGATAGTCAACATGTCGTGATCCTGACATGTTGGGTTGCTTTTTATTCTTGAAGGCAGTCTCATGTCACGGTTAGGGAAACAGTTATGTAAACAAGAACGAAAAAATTCAAGCGCCTTGAGGTTTGCATTGAAGACACGGTTGAGCAGCTGGGTATTTGGGAATGCGCGCACATGTTTGGGAAAATTGAGTTGCAATCCACCCGTTGTGCTTGAAAAGAATGCCCTCTTGCCGAAATGTCGTGCGCCGCCATCAGCTGCCATGGTCATGCCAGTCAACAAATGCCCAAACCACACGCCCTGCATGGTGTGTTTCAAGAAAGTGTTTGTTAAATGGCTGGGTATACAAGAGGCAAAGTTGGCCTTCGGGATTGAACGAGCAAAGAAATACTCACCAGCTTGGTCATGTTATGGGTGGGCAACATGCGCAAACTGAGCATGTGCAATAATATTTCATTTCGCATTGCACATCATGAAGCCACCGATAATATGCGACACCGGAACCGGAGTCATCAAGGCCAACATTTCACTTCGGTTTTTGAGCAGCTTCCCTATTCGCGCGACGCACAAATCACATCTGCAGGCGGGCTTCGCGGGTGAACAAGAGCCGTGGAGACCCGAGCTTTCGCTTGTTCGCTACCCGCCAATCTTTATATCTTCTGCCCCGAAGGTCTGTCGTATTGCCAAACCTGCTTGGCCGTCCCATGCTTCGAGCCGATAGCGGTATTGGGTCTTGCCAGGCTTGGTTTGGCCGAGCAACAGTTTGCAAGTAGATTGAGCTTTTTGTCAGATTGATGATATCATGGTTGGTGATGAAGCGAATGCTGCAAGGCCTTGCCTGTCATGATGTGATCTCATTGCTGGTGGGAAGGTAAAGGGCCGGTTCTCCAGGTCATTGCTCCAGCTGACGCGACCCATCCAAAATGGTGTTGTCAAAGACTGGGAAGGCATGGAGGCCGCAAATTTCATTTGCCATCAACAAGTGAGATTGGTTAACCCCGTGGCAATCCATGGTAGGATAGTTTTCGCGTAACGGTACTTACTTTCAATGGCCGAAATGAGTTCCAGCTTGTGCATAATGCAAATGAAATTGGATGGAATGTGCTTGAGTTGATCACGCAATACCACATGATGGTGTTAAGCAGAAGCGTTGCGGAGTTGGGAAGGCGGTGTGGGATTACACCTTCAAAAAGCTTGGTATCAACCCAGCGGAACACAAGGCTGGGAATGTCACACAGCACATGCCATCATTTAAGAGATTCAAATGAAGTTGGCTTGACGGCAAGAGTAAGAACCAATGCCATGACATACGGAGCATTATGGTTCGCGCAATTGCGGATCGTTGACCGCAAATATTTAGTCAAAGAAGGCAAATATTGCCGTTGTCCGTTTCTGTGGGTACATATGTTCCAAGACTGATTGCTGCGAATCTCTTGGCGTGGGCCCGCTAGGTGCTGCAGACGGAAGCAGCCCTGAATCCTCCAAGGAACCGCGAGCGCATGGCCAGGGACCCACAGCGAGTGTCTGGCACATATATGCAGGCCGAAACTTGATGGGCAGCTTTGCTATTGAGATTTAGCCGTGCTTTGGAAGAATAATCAGCATGGTGCGAGATTGGACTGTTGAACAAAAACAGCCAGCTGCTGTCAGCACAGCACTTGCTGAAATCTTTTTTATGCCTTTGGCCAGAATTCATGCTGGCGCTGAAAGGTTGAGATCATGTTTGAGCGCTATGGCTTCACCGCAGTGAACGTATCAGTTCAGGCGCAGCTGAAAAAATCCAGATGTAGGGACAACTCGTTGCAGGTGCTTGAAGCCGTGTCCATCAGGCCATTTTGGCATTGAATTCCCGTGGCCTGGACTCGGGTTTCGTGGTACCACCAACCCAAATTGTCCAAAGCGTTTAAGAGAAACAACTTGGAGGTCATGAGCTTTTCTTTGCCAGGTTGATTCCGGGGACGGTGTCACACACTTGGTCCCCATCAGCGAGGGATACCTGGAGCCGGCACTGGTGCAAAGGGTGCGCAGACGGCAGACCGATGTTTTGCCAGATGATGTCCCGTATCAGGTGAATCTTGCTGGGAGACATGTGACGGAGCAGTTGATGAAGCTGCTCGTAGGCCTGTTGTGTGAAGCTGTTTTGCGGGCGTGTGGCCTTCGGCGATGTACTGCCTGGAGGGCAGGGCCATCCTTTGAATTCGACCGCAGATTTCGAAACTGTCCGCGAGGCCCCAAAATCCGAGACTGTCCATGAATGCTTCGCCCCTTCGCCTTGTTGCGGCTTAATTGCAGGTCAAGCAGAAGCTCTGCTACATTGCTCACGATCCAGAGGCAGAGAGGAAACTGGCCCAGGACACAGCGTACTTGGGCAGAGAGCGTGATGCATCAAGATCAAGCCTAGGCTCGCGAGACAACGCTGGTAGACAGACAGCGCCTCCTTTGGCGATGTGTGTTTAACAAATGTCAACATTTTTTCGATGTTTGTGGAGGTATGTTCTTCCTGACAGTCGCAGCATGCGAGTCGGAGCTGAGCGGTTCCTTGCTCCCGAGATTCTGCCATCCTCTCGGCTTTGATGCTTGATGCTTCTGTGCAGACTTTCCGAGATGCTTAGCCATGCCTGCAGATTTAATCCTGCCTTGGGTGGCTATGGTGACGGCGACGGTTTGGCCGATTTGGCATTCTCCTCAGCCTTCTGAGACTTTCTGGAATGACAGTCCCAAGACTCGCTGTGATCTGAGGTTTTCAACACAATACGCAAGTCTGATATCCATGTTCAGAAGGAGCATTTAACGTGGCATGAACCGTTTTGTAGCCAACTGTCTGTCTCAAGAGTGAGACGAGCGGCAAGGACTATTTTCAACAAATTGTGCTTTCTGGCGGAACGACCATGTTTCCCGGTATGTCATCGAGGTTGGAGAAGGAGAGAGAATTCTTTCAGCTTCTCAGCTGCTTGCCATGTGTTTCTATGTCTGCACAGAAGTGGCTTCAAAGGACCTGAGGGCGCTGTACTTGCAGAACGTGCTTGGTGGTGACACATCTCGCCTTTCCAAGTTCAAAGTCCACGTCGAGGAAGTCACAATGTCACCTCACAGTCCTTGACGAGTGAAGCTGCACGATGGGAATCCAGGATCCTCCTGACCGTAGACATATGGTCTTCTCGGGTGCATCCCTCATGGCCGAAGCCTACGAGCAGCAGGCACCATGGGATGGACCCCCTTTGTGCGATGTCTTGAACACTATGTGATGTGTTCCTGAGGCGAACCCCAGGTATTGGATTACCCGCGAGGAATACCTGGAAAGTGGTGCTGGCCTCCTTGGCATGATTCACGGGGGCGTTGTGGTCAGCAGCTCTTTATGTTGCACAGCACAGCTCCAGGTGCCGTCCAGAGATTGATTCCCACCAAGTTGGCGTGATGAGCTGACATCCCAAAAAGTGTGTGACTGTGCGTTTTGCAGTATCCAACAGTTTGCATGCAGCACTGTGAAAGTCATATGCCAATCTCAAATTTCTTTACTGTGCCTCGCCACCCTCACATTCAGTGGCTGCGGGCCCTCCCTCCTTTGCACTCGGGGGCAAGGGCAGGGAGGGGGACCCTGAGCTGTTGAGCTGAAGATCCAGGACTTTCAAGTTACCAGCTTTCTTCGTTTTTCTTCGTTTCAAACATGTCTCATGTCTCGTTGAGCAGTTAGATGTTGCTAGACTTGAGATTGTTGAAGTGGCGCAGCTTGGTGGCGCCAAGCAGGACTCGGAGATGACAGCAGCGGTTGCGGAATCATCTGCCTGCGCCTCAAAAACTGCCAAAAGATGAGAGCACGTTGTCGGGTAGTTGGGCTCTGCTCTGGGAGCAAAATTTTCGATTCAATGCTTGCAAGTGCGAGTTGTGGGGCGGCGGCGGCTCTTTGTGCTATGCTGCTGGTTTAGTGTTCTACGGATACTTTACGTGCAACTGCTGCCGGTGCCAGGGCTTCCGCCACTGCCGCTGTAACCTCCGCCGCCACAGCCATCGTCAAGTCAATGTCCGCTTGCATGAAAGTTGCTTTAGGCTAGCAGCCCTTGGGGGCGGTCGGGTGGGGGTCCCGACGCGAACTGAATGGGGGGGGCATCGGTGGGGGGTGGGGGTGCGGGTAGGAGCTCCTGTAGGAACCTTTGCGCCTTCGGCAGCGCTGAGGCGAATCATTACAAGGAATGTAGATGGAGCAGATCTGTTGTTTTGGCAGAAGCCTATGATTCAAGGTTTTGCATCAGACCCATTTATTCTAAGCGCTTCTGTTTAGAAAGCTGACTTTGAAAACTCGTCTACGGTTCGTTTAAGAATCAGCTAAAGCATGTATTGGCGTTGATTTCAAGAACATTGTGTAAGTCCAGAATTCCCAAACTTTTGGGGAGCCCTCAGGAGGTTTGCATCTTGGATTTTTGTATTTTGGATGCCAGTTCTGATCATAATGTATAGTTTGAACGAATTTACGAACGGAAATCCGGAAATTATGTATATACATATATATATATGTATGGTACCCCCCAAAACCTATTTTTTTTTTACTCTACGTCTATCTAATATATATATATATATATGCAAATATTTTATGAGTGTCCGCCTTTATTATCGTATCATAGCCAAGGTCAGGCAGATTAGAAATTATCCAGACATGATGAACACCTTAGTAAAAGAATATGCCCCCCAAACGATAGCCCAAAATTGCAACTTATCAGGATCCCATCCAAAAGCAACGACGAAAAGCAAAAATGTGGGCCATCCACGCGAGGGATCTGGCAAAACAGTGTCAACCGACGAGCATGAACATCGCAGTGTGCCCAAGCCCTGTAAAGCGATAGGCCCCTACAAAAAACGATGCCCTTGATTTTTTATTCGAGGTTTTTACAGGTAATTTGCGCAACTGCTCTCGTGTTTGGACGCTTTGTTCCACAGGTGTACCAGGAATAAAAAGGATAAAGCAACTAAGCTCAATTCAACTTTCTTTGACCGCGGCACCGAGCACCAAGATTCCTTGGGAATGCAATTGCAGGAATCATGGGGCCACGGGGTGCCCTGAACATGTTTGATGCGAATTTGAAACTATGAAATTCAGGGTGAGTTGTTGGCCGTGAAATGTTCAGCCAAGATTTCACAGAATTTTGATCGTCAGAATCTGTCAAACTTTGGCTCAAATTTCCGAGACGAGCCAGGGAACCAAGTTTCTCATATGAAGAACTGTCATGCAGTGCGGAATCCGAGTTCCACAGCTTTACCTTGCAAAATGTTAGCAGGTGGCAGTGGAATGAAATGTTAGAAACCCTTGGTGAGAATGATGAAACAAGATTCCTTTGCGTCTTTGAGAGAGTGGTTGTGCCAGGCTTTACCCTGACTAGCTTGAATTGAAACAAAAAGGTTGAAATCGAAGAGAATCGGCCGCGGAACCAGGAACCAAGATTCTCCAGGACAGCTAAACGCAAATCTTGATTCCACAGCTCATCCTGCACAAATTTTAGGAAGTTTTCAACGCATTGGCCGTTTGTAGCCACAACTCTCATAACTAGTGCCGAGGAATTTTCCTTTCTATGGCCATTAAACTTGAAGTTCGAGTCAATTTTCCCGCTATTTCCAAGGTAGAGCTATGGGACCAAGGTTGTGGTGTTCAAATCGCTCAGGAACCTTGCCTCTGTGTTCCAAGGCCCACTATCCAGATTTCACTTGTTTGTGAGTATTTCAATTTTCAAAGTACATCTAACAGAACTCGGAGCCCTAACTCTGTATGAAGTTGTCTGATGCTCTTTTTCTATTCTCAAATGCAGGTCAGCGCTCTGTGTGAGGAGGTAATATCCACGGGTTCCCTTTTACATGATCTTTCAGGATGTTGGTACGTGTGTCTCAGTGCAGGCGCGCACTCTGCACCATCACAAAGCGAGCGAGGATTTCTGTGAAAGCAGACCGTGGGTGAGAGGTACTGCCAGTATAATGTTTCAATACTTATTGGGGAATCTGGTGGCACTTGCATGCACAGCATGTTTTAGGGTAAGGTGATCTGGAATCTGGAGGTTTGCGGTGTACAACCGGACTCCAGGAAAATCCATCTCGAGTGGTTTTTTGCTGGGACCCCTGGCAAACGAGGCGATTCTGCTAGTGCTGCTGCCTCCTAAGAAACCCTAGTTGAAGGCAACATTGTCTTTTTCCAAATGCATTGCGAGGTTTCAGGTCTCTGAACTGCAAGATGTAAGATTTAACTGCTAGAAGATTGTTGGGGCTTCCGGCCTCCAGGGGTTCCTAGCCTTAGGATGTTTGAAGAGGTTGTGAAGTTTGAAAAAGTACCGTGGGGCTCCAGAAGACCTTTAATTCAGGCTGGCTACCAAGCTTTGGCTGTCTGCTTGTCTTTCAGTTGTTGATTGAACATTGCCATTTCCACCGTTCCTATTCTGGTCTTTACGCCAGGATCTTGTTTGCATGTACCTACTCTTGTATTCTGCCGTCCAAGAATGGTATCACCATATTTTTTCCACTTCACTAGCGTACGCTCGCTTGCAACAAGGGACCGCAAAAGCTGTGACGCTGGTTTTGTTTCGGCATCTACGTACAGCAACTGGAGGCGCAGGTCTTAGCGCTTGAAATCATCGTTTTGATTTGATTCTTGGTAGCGACGCGTCGCTGTTTGCGGTGGCTGGTGGCATCATGAATTACCCTTGGGTTGGTCCCTTGCACGCTGCAGATGTAGCTTGCAACAAGACTGCCCAAATGGCAGATTGGGAAGCTCTGTTCATGAGCAATGCATCATGCGGATCTTGCTGCCCGCAGTATCCAAAAGCGTCATGGACAAAAGGCAAGCCCTTCCACACGTTTTGATTTCACAGCAGCGAGACGTGTCCTCATGATGAGGGTCTTGCTTCCCAGTTTGTGTGGATGCTAGCTTGAACAACACTTGCAACTTGTGACCTGAGTTCAGGTGGATCCGTCAAGGGCTCAGTGGTTTTGTTGTGCATCGCGTCGCTCATTAGGATCACATAACTTCAGGCTGGGTTCTAGAGAAAGAACACCAGTTACGCTCGCTGTCAGGCCGGTTCGGTGCGTGGTCAGAGTATGTTGAATGCTTGCTCTGCCAACGGTTCAATGCAGGAAGTCTTTGAAACGAACGCATGATCTCTTCGTGGGGAACGAGGAGTTAAAGCGCGTAGAGGTTGGGCAGTAGCAGGTCTCTGACAGTTGGTGCATTTATATTTGATTTTGTGAGGATTCTCGGGGCACAGAGGCCATGCTGCGTCTGAAGATGCATGACGAGTGCGCCTCTCTGCATTAACGTGTGACATGCTCATACATGTTCTAAACGCAAGTGATGCAAGAGCAAGTTTGTCTTTGCTCGAGATGTTTTGATGGTCTCTGCTGACAAGTTCAAAAGAAGTGGCTGCAGGGATGGATTTCAATATTCATGTATCCGTTTGCGGGTAATTGAGAAGGAGGAGACTGGCTCTGCCTAGTGTGATGTCGGAAGGAGTGTCCACAATCAATTCTCTAGGCCTGGTCACGAGCTGAGTCTTGTTACGTCTGAATGCAAAACATGTTCACCGGAGCTTGTCTCAGCTCCATGCATCTTCTTGCCGGCTAGGTTGTAGTTCGGACTCTCCCAGCAGTACCAGTCAACTTTCTCCTTCTCATTTGCCATGCGCCATGAAGTAGACGGCAGGGTCTGTTCAAATTGAAACGCTGTTCTATTTGCTAAATTTGCTAAGCCCTTTTGGCCTCAAGCTCCGCTTTTCCGGCTCAACCGATATATGTCTGGTCTTGGCACGCGATGAAGTTGGTTTATTGGATTCCAGGTTTGGTTCCTGCAAAACTTGGGTTACTTCTTCTTGAACATCCTCAGCAAAAAGCCTTTTGCAACGCGACAACTCTTCAGCCCGTCGTGTGCTTCGGAGATCAAATCATTCACTTCAATACCTGCATGCGGGAAACGACATGGACTCTTGTCGAGTCTAAAGTGCTGGTGGTCACTTTCACCTTTGCCCTTCACCTTTGTGCTGCCTTCATCGTGGTCGCCCGGCCGGTGCAAGTTGCAGCCCGGCTCTTTGGTCTGGGCCCGACAAGAACAGGAAGTATGCTAAACATTGCTAAACACTGCCCAAGGAGAGACGTTGGCAGCAGCTATTGGAACACCGTCATCACTTACCGTGTATCCACGACATCTGTGACCGTGTCCCTTTGGGATCGCTTCATCTCGCTTCCGAACTGCGGGTGCGCCTGTAGCAGGCTTGTATCAGAGGAGAGCCTCACACAAAATCGCACACGGGACGATACGTTGAATTTCCTTCCTGAGCCAAAACATGTACTTTGACTTGCAGTGCTGATTCAGTGGATATGTGATCGCATGCTTCCCTGGTTCAAGCTGCAATACGAGTGGACCGCGTAATTTGCTGGAGACTGCATGTGTGCACTTTTCTTGTACTGTTGATGCTGTTGATCCATTCTAGCCCCAAGCATGCTGCACGTGTCAGAGACCGTCGTCCGATGCTTGTTCATGAACTCCGTAGACGTTGCCTGTCATGCGACACGGTTGTGGAAGGTATCAGCATATTCGAGACGTCCCTGAGCAAGTCACAGATGAAACAGTGACTGCGTTTGGATCTCAAGTCCTCGTTGCATCAAATGCCAGTTCACAGAAAGCGCCTGTCTCTTCAGACTGCCGTTTTTGCGGGCTGCGATCGATGATGCGACACAGGAGGCAGCAAGCACACGCTTGTTGAAATTTGGGCTGATAACTTGTTGATAAGCCACCCCTTCAGAGAAACACTTGTCGATGGATCTCTTTTTCCAACTGTGCTGAATCCTTGTTTGTTTCATGAAGGCATTGCCATCTGCGATTACGCAAATGATCACCGCCGGTCTGGCTTGCTTTACACTCTCACTTCGTGAGCGATGCTGTATCTGACAAACCGCCAACCTGCTGTCAGGATGGTGACGAGAAGGGCAGCCGCGGTCCAGCAGTGGGGCCTGCCCACCATGCCTGTTTGTCATGTCGTGCAGTTGCAATAGAGCAGTTGTCGTGGACGTGAAACTCAACTAGCTTGTTTGCATGCTTCAGGTTGTGCCAATCGCGCCAAAGGCTCCTGCAGATCCATCAACGCAGATTCAGGCATAGTCAAGTATCACAGCATTCATGCATTCTGAGGGAGAAGGCTGAGCTAGCGGCCAGGTAAGACCGCTACGCGAACGTCCCGAGATTCCCAAACCTATTTGGCATCCTCCGTGGAAGTTGATGCGGGTGATGTTCGGCACCTAATGGTTGCAAGTTTGAGGTTCTGAACTCTCATCAGCTGCAATGCTATGTTGCAAAAACCAGTACATGCACACGGGACCGGAAATTGAATGTACAGAAGTTGGTCTGATCGTCGACCGACCTTCGTTGGAACTACCTTCAGGGCTCAAATTGTCTGCAAGCTGCGTTCGTTATCTTCTTGGAAGAGCCTTCAATGCCCAATTGAGTCAAAGTACTTCAATGTCTGGTCTTGTCATGCAAGGACAAAAATGCGTGTGGAAGAGGGAGCATGGAAACCGTGCCTGGATCGGAAAGGCATCGTCTCGACGAACTCGTTCAATGACGACTTCACGATTTCTGTTTCTGGTCGGTTGGCATCGCCCCGGTACAAATATCCGTTCTGAAAGATGGAATGATGCAGACAGAGCAATTGCTCAGTTCTGTCGCGAGTTTGATACTTGCAAGGGGCGGTTCTTGTTCAATTCGGCCCCTGGGCTTGCAGCAAGCTGGACGCTGCGCTGGGAGCTTGTACTTGTTGAGACCTTGGAGTCAGAGCAACCTGAGTTCCGATCAACTTTGGGGTCACAATGACAAAGTGCGACCAGCCAGGCGAAGGCTGCATGGGCCACGCCTTACTGGAGGGTGTCGAATGGAATTGCTTGTAAGGAGTTGAAGATTGCCAAAGGCCTGCTAGCAAGAGAGCCTGGGTTGATGTGGGGAGTCCACCTGAATGTCTGTGCGCCAGCAGTGATGGACCATTGCATTAAAGTCGAGGAGTTACCTGTTTGGAATCTTTGTTTAGGGAATTCATTTGTGTGGAACCAACCCGAGACTGATTTGAACCTGCAGAAGCTTTTTCGGTTTGACATAGTGCCTTGAAGGCGCACGCGCCTTCACCCAAGCTTACGTAGCTGTGAAGCTGTGATGGTGAGCACTTACGTACAGGGCCGCCTGTTTGTCAAGCGTCGCCGGGAGTTGTTGAAGGTGTGGATTTAGATTGCTGTGCGCTTCACTGACTCACAGAGAGCCAGCTGGAAATGGCCCTGCAGCAGTCAACCAGCGAGAGCGCTGTGTGACTCTTCAAAGAACTGCATTCTGTGGAAAGGGGTTTACCTCTTAGTCTCTGATGCTTGGCACCAAGGTAAGGAAAATATTTATTGCCACAGCTATCAGGGCCTTGCACTGGCAATTGTTTACAAGATCGTTTCTTCAAGTCCAAACATTAGCTTAGCACTGAGTCAGTTCCGGCATATTTGGCATATTACGCCACTTCAAGGCCAAGTCAGAAGGGTTTCGCAGATTGAACATGCACACGTGCGTCGAATCGTCAAAGGTCTGGCCACGAAGGCTGGGTACGGACCGTCGCCGTGGACCCAACCAACGAGTGGTGGACGCCTTAGGCTGTTTGTTTTTGTTGTTATTGCCAGGTCCCAGGTGCTGCGTCCAGACCGGTGCTGCGCAGCGCCACTTTGTGTTTGCTCAGGTTTGCATCCTCGGGCAATGATCGCCTTATCAAAATTTGGGATTTGGCCAGTGGCACGCTACACTCTCAGAAGACTTCAGTCACGGGAGCGCCATGTGCATCAATTGTTTTGGAGGCTTAAGCTGTCCTTGACGGGGCATGTCAGCACTGTGCGCGCTGTTGCCATCTCTGATAGGCAGGGTTTTGAAAAGGCGAAAAGTTGAGCGCAAGCGGCCCCATCTCGGGGCTTCGGCGCAGGCATCCATACCTCTTCAGTGCGTCCGAGGATTGCGAGGTGAAGTGCTGGGACCTAGAGCAGAATATGGCCAGCCGTGCGCAGTTGCAATACTTTGAAGCCTGATGCTCGATGCTTTCATGTTCACCGTGCCAGGTAATTCGAAATTACCATGGACACCTCAGTGGTGCTGGTACCTCAGCCACACGCTTGCTGGAGTCTTGAGACTAAGCTAACATCTCAGAAAAGCCTCACTAATGGTATTGCAGAGGTGTATTGCCTCGTTTTGCATCCCACACTGAACATCCTCGCGACAGGTGCATGACTTTGTTCATAAGCACATGCTGCGACAGTTGCGTTCAAACAGCACGAAGTACAGCGCTGACTTCCTGTGTTGTTGCCCTCACAAGGCGGAAGAGATGGCTCGGTTCGAATTTGGGACATGCGCACCAAGACTGGAATTTTTGTCTTCACGGGCCATACCAACGCCATTTGCTCGTTGACATCGCAGGCCGCGGGACGGAATCATGCAGCTACAGAGCTAGAGGGTCACTCGATGGTGCTATGAGGCTGCAGAGCCCCAGTTCATCAGTGGTTCCATGGACAGAATGGTTGCGGACTTAATGCCTCAAGGAACCCCAATAGCTTGGATCTGTAGCGGTGCCAGTGCAGGTACGATTGTGGGACCTCGCGGCCGGCAAATGCTCGGTCAGCACCCAGGTTACAGTAGATCAGCTGCCTTCACAATTTGGCTTAGTCCGAGCGATGTTATAGCTTGCTAGACATCATGGGTGCGTCCATTGAAAAAACATGGGGCTTTCCAAAACATTCAAAGCTGATTTCTCTCCTTATAGTGAACTTTAAACTTGGGATAGTATTGACTCTGGGGATACATCACTGAAATTAGCATCAATTAAGCTTCGTACAGCGCCTTGCCAATGCCTTGGCCAAGGTTACTTTGACAAATCACAAGCCAGCGCCATAGCTACCATGCTGTGCAGACGGCAATTGCACATGTTGGAGCTGCCACTCTTGTGATCAGCATCTGAGGAAGAGCATACGTGCTTTGGCGATCCATCCACTTGAGTACACTTTTGTCTCGTGCTCTTCGGACAACAACAAGGCGCGGTTTTTTGCACACAAGCTCATAGTCTCAGCGTAGCGCGCGGTGACACAGGTGTGGAAATGCCCCAAAGGGGCGTTTGAGCGCAACATTCAGGGCCACAATGCCATTGTGAATTGTCAGCCTGACTTGTTTTGGCTCACGACCCGCGACTTTTGCATGCCGTTGCTCCTTTTGCAGCTTCTGATATGACTTTGCTATTGGACTCCACCACGAAGGTCAAGCCCGTGTTCTACCCAACAGCGTCTTGTACACTGTCAGAACGACGAAAAGAAAGTTCAGTTGGAGAATGATTGTGCTGCCATCACGCATGGGGCTGATGCCAGTCCCAAGAAAGAACCGCTATGCCCTTTGAGAGCAAGTTGCATTTCACATATATAGTGACGTTCTCTCAAGCTTCCAGTTTCGCAGGGATGTAGTTTCAGGGTAATGGGCTTAGAGCAGGTATGCGCTCGCGCAGTGAACGACAGCGCTTGTAACGCCTCACTGTGATGGATGCCGAGTGTCTGTGCGCAGTCTCCAAAACCTCATTCTTATGATTCTGGCCCTTTGGTAGTATCTACCAATCCCATTGAGCACGCCGGCAGCCAACACAGTCTTGTCATTCTGAGAATCGGTAGTCGTCCAAAACCACGAGTCTTGAAACTGAGGCCCGTATGACACTAGCAGTACTCAAACACACCCGCCGTGTTATGACCTGAGTTCTTTACGATGATGGTAGGCAGAAACCCAAGACCCCTCTCTTGCGACTCAGGTAGTACTCCAGCTAAAGACGTGGTGGTAACCAGAACAAGGTTTCTGGAACAGTACGAGTAACAGCATTCCTGGAATATGGATATGGTCGCAACCTCTAGCCACGATAGTGCTAAGTGGTATTGTCGCATGATGCAGCCATGACAAGCATGACGAGCTTTTGAAAGAGGTCCCTCCCCACCAGCCCCGCTTGGGAATCATCCTTTTGCTAAGGCTTTCCAACCAAAAGACAATTTGCGGGGAGTCACCGTTTTGCAGTTTCCAGCCCCAAAAGCTTGAAAATGGAGACCCCAGCAATTTGTCTTGGGAATCGCCCCTCTGAGGCTTTTCAAGCAAAAAGACGACTTGCCGGGGGGTCATGATTTTGGATCTTTCTAGCCCAGAAAGCTTGAAAATGGAGACTCCCCCACCAATCCTGCTTGGGAATCACCTTTCAGGCTCCCCCATTAATCCCCCTTAATAATCACCCTTCTGGTGGGGTTGTCCCACAGAAAGACAATCTGCGGGGCAGTCACCGTTTTACAGTCAGAGCAGCACCTGGGGACAACCCCAAGATTCAATCGGGTTTTGGTACTCCAAAACTCCGAAACTGTGACTCCCAAAGCGGGTGGTTGGTGGAGAGGTCTCCATTTTCAAGCTTTGGATGCTGGAAAACTCAAAAACGGTGACTCCGTGCAGGTTGGGTTGTCTTTTTGGTTGGGCAGCCCCACCAGAAGGGGGATTGGTGGGAGTCTCCTTTTTCAGCTTTTGGGGCTAAACAACTCTTAAAACGGTCTCCCAACTAGGTTGTCTTTTTGGTTGAGAAGCCCCACCAGAATGGTGATTCCCAAGCAGGATTGGTGTGGCAGTCTCCATTTTCAAGCTTTTGGGGCTAGAAAGATCCAAAATCATGACCCCCGGCAGGTTGTCTTTTTGCTTTGACAGTCGGGTGACTTGCAAGGTGGGTTGGTACTGGTAGGGGAGTCTCCATTTTCAAGCTTTTGGGGCTGGAAAACTCCAAAGCGGTGACTCCCCCGCAGGTTGTCTTTTTGCTTGGAAAGCCGTGCCAGAAGGATGATTCCCAAGGGGGGTTGAGGGGGAGTCTTCATTTTCGAGGTTTTGGGGCTGGAAAACTCGAGAGACTTTCACAAGCAGCGTGCAGCTACAAAAACTTGCATTTCATTATGCAACGCATTGTTGGGCTTGCTTGACGTGGTTCCTGCGTTCATTTTTGTGGTTCCTTTTTCTTCTTTCTTGTAGGTGCACTGAGATGTAAGGCTATTTCGCCTGGCACCTCCCCTTCTCACAAACCCTGCCGAGAAGATTTTTCATGAAAGAGCATGGTCCGAAGACCGCCGAAGGTTCCGAAGATGGATGGGAAAGCGGAATCCAACAAGTAAAACGGGCTACAACTACCATAAAACGTTTATTCTCGCTCCAGAAATCACTGCCGCGATGCACTAGCATTTCTCAATCTCCGAGGAATGATCCAGACACTGCTAGTTCATTTCAGAAGCGCTGAAGAATGTTCGCAAGAGCTTAGCACGTGGCTCAGTAAGCAGTAAGCGGTGGGTGCCTCCATTGCAAGTCTCGCTAGAGCAGATGTTGCCTTCACATGTTGCGCACCTCCATGGTTCTGCTGCATATCCGGAGTTGGAGTTTTACATTTGTCAGATGCAGAATCATCTGACGCTTTCGATTCGAGATCGGTGTTGCGATTGCTGTGCTGCAACAAAACAATTCGCTGCCAACCTATTTGCAGTTCCCTCTCGCAAAACTAATAGGAGTGCAAAACTACGAGTCAGCCTGTTTCCCTGGCCCCGGACATGGACCTGAAATGTCTTAAAGTCACCTTGTCAGGGAACCGGGGTCAAAAAGCAAGTAGCATCTCGCATGCCAACGCTGATGGCAGGTTGCACCATCCGTGAGGGTCAACAGGGCTCCTCGCAGCTAATAGCTGGAACGGACAATGGCTACCTCCATTTTTGGGACACGACCTGCGGTTAGCACATGTGGTCGGGCTTGCATGATCTGGTCGGGCAACATGCTGCCTTGAAGCAGGATTGGAGAAGTGGCCACAAGTTCCAGAGTCTGGAGGCCGAACAGCTGAAAACTTGAGCAGTTTGCCTCCCTGATCCATTCTGCGCCAGGCAATACCTCAGCCTGGAAGCATGAGTGCGGGGCTTGTGCCTGTTGCAGAGAAGTGCGACAGGTGGTTTTTCATCCCCTGTGGAGCACTTTGGAGCTATGCACTTTGCAGATTCGCACTTTGCAATGTGAGCTAGGGCAAAGTGTGTTATTGGGGCGGAGTTCTGCTCTGGAATGGGGTCCCCCCAACCCTTCTTTCTTGTAAGCCGCGCAAGTAACTGGCTGCAAGTGTGTATCTTTAAGTGTTTCGCTTAAAAAATCAAATCATTTGGTCATTCCGTTTGCAAGTAGGGGAGCTGTGCCCCCCCTCCCCACGATCAGCATGACATCCGATAATCATGTTTGCCAGCGGGTTTGAAATTCATGTGGCCCCAGGCCCAGCCGCTTTAAGCCGGGGAAGCTTACCTCGGCAACCGGCAGCTTCTTTGACATTTGAAGTGGGCCAAGCTACCTTGCTTGCAAAGACCTCGAACCCTTAGCACCAAGCCTTGTTCCAACGACCATTGAATAATCATGCCGATGCTTGCAAAGGTTGCGTGCAAGGCAGGGTGGTTTCCAACATGTTCGCCCCAGTGTTTTCATATTCAATCACAATGCCCGAGGCCTGTTTTTGTAAAGGGCAGACTTAAAGCGATTTTGGGGACGATGTTGGCTCGCGACGCTTGGGTGGGTTGTTCAAAATTTGGCTCTCGTCTAGCGTCCTCCCTTTAGCATCCTGATCGCACTCCCGCCATAGTCTCGTGGGCGTGCTTCAAGTGCAAACGGCGTTGTGTTTGATGGAACATCTTCATAAAGTGCAGAACTGTCGTGATTTTTGGCACGATTTCAACTCGCGATTCACTCCCTCATGGAGCGTTTTATCATTTGGCGTCCTGGCCGCTCTCCTCCCATTCTCCTCGCTTTTGACGGCTCATTTTCGCGCAGGGCTGTCTTCATTTCTAGCACGATTTTAGCTCGCAATGCGCTGCGGAGCGTTTTCCCAATTCGGCGCCCTGATCGCGTCCCCACTAGAGAGTCCCGTGCGCGTGCTTGTCATGCTTGCCACGAAGGGCAGCAATGTTGTTTTTTTTTGACGGTTCGTCTTCGTAGAGTGCAGAAATATTGTGGGCTTTGGCAGGGTATCAGCTCGTAGTAAGCACCATGCGGCTTAGGGGGGAACCCAAAAAAATTTAGTCTTTTGTGTGTAAAGAAGATCACTCCACGGCTTTGTTGGGCCTCGAAGGGGGGGAGTGGTGTTTTTTTCGGTGTTGGGCCTCCTGGAAGGTGCAAACAACAAAACAAAGCACCTGCCCCCGCCCCAACAAAAGGCATTGATTTTGCAAGAGGCACGTGCACAATATCAACTTCATTCAGCTGTCAACCCTCTGTTTCGGGCGAAAGGATGGAGGAAGGGTCTGGCACTGCAACAGGGAACGAGCCCACGAGCCCACGAGCCCCAGAGAAGCAAGGCGGGTAACGACACCCACGTGGCCTCGCTTGCTGCAGGTGCTGAAAATGCAATCTTTGACATGGCGCCGGGAACCTGGCAGTACAGTCAGCAGGAAAGGCACGAGTTGCATGCGAATGCAAGGCTGGACCAGAGTGGCAGTCGTCTGCTGACGGCAGAGTGCGACAAGACCGTCAAGATCTACAGAGAGGAGATCCTGACAGCCCTGCCGCCTCCGCTCTGCTTCGCTCTGCTTCGCTCTGCTTGTGCTTCGTGGAGTTGGTTCTGGTTACTTGAGGACCCCAATGCAACCCCAGAGACGCACCCTCTCAACTGGAAGGCAAGGATGACGCATCCACAGATTCCATGCTTTCTGCAGAACTTCAGGTACTTGAAGTTCAGAAGAATGGGATAGCTTACCATGGGTCGGCAGTGCAGTAGCTGTACCTAAGATGGAGAGGATGAGTGTATGGAGGGAGCTGCTGTCCTTGAATGGTCTGCTAGGCGCCCAAGCTCAATGCAAACCATCGCTACTGAGCTCGAAGCAGAGCCCTGTCTCACAGCGGTTTACAGCCAGGCGTAGGGCCCAAGCTCAGCTTCGAGTCTCAGGTTAAGGCCTTTGCCGTGACCAGTGAGTGCAGGAAAAGGAGCCAGACAATGCCAACATGTACAGGGTTGCAGCATCGGTGCTGTGCCTTTTACTTGTGGAAGATGTGGTCTGGCCAGGAACGTAGCGCACCAGAAGTGGAGGCGTAGGGTATTGTAGCGTCCAGGACGACACCACTCCGTAAGATGCTTCCCCCAGGCCCCAAGCCCAGCGGGACTAGCCAGATTCAAGCAGCAAGCAGTCCTTGGGCTGGCCGCCTTAACGCTGATGCGGGTCTGCATGCATGGAGGCTTTCGGTTCCCTGGCAGCAAGAAGAGACATTAAACATGCGTTAACATGTCATGCATGAGCTGAATAAAGTTGTCCAGATAACATCACTCGACCGCTTGATCCGAGACTCCGGACTTCAACCTCCACAACATGTTGAGACGGAGGTGGTAGCTGGTTGCAGGATTCACTATGGGCTCGGTGTTACTTGGCTGAGAGGAATCGGTCGAGGAGCTAGATGGCCAAGGCGACATGTTGGGAAAAAAGGCCAGCATCCCGCTAATCCTGACTACAGAAGTTTCGAGAGGACATGGAGCTCTGGCAGAATCTGCTGATGTTTCTGACAAGGAGATTTCTTTTTGCACAGCTTTGTTCAAGCCAAGAAGCTTCTAGCAGCATTTACACAGCACAGGCTCAGTCTACAGTTATCCGCACGGTGCCTTCAGCCCAGACTCAAGATTTAATTTTACAGCTTGCTTTGCTACCAAGTACCAAGAGTAGCGAAGCCGGATATGGCCTCACTTTCTCTGCAGCAGTCTCAAGTTGCGAAGGTTCGTGATTCCGCAGGTTGTTAGGTTCCCGCTTCGCGCACACCTTCGGCATCCACATTCTAGATCTCGCTGAAAGAATCAAACAATTTGAGCAAACACTTTTGGTATGCTGTTTTCTTGCAGGAGGCTCTGGGGCAGATGATGCCTCCGAACATCCCAGATGCATCGGAGGCAGCTCTGCGCCCGCTGTGTACCCTGTTAGCTACGTTGATTCTGCCAAGATTGAGACTCAATTGAGACATAATTGAGACATCATCAAGCCATTGCTCTTGCCTTTCAACAGGCTAGCAGCCCAGACGCAGACTCGACTGCAAGGCAACACATTGAATTCACGTCTTGATTGCAGAAAGGATTGCTCGGTGCGCATTCTTCTGGAAGGCTCACATCTTTTTGGTTTGTCTGAGCGAAAGCAAGACCCAAATGTCAATACCAGGTCAGGTCACAAAACACCATCGGATTGAGCACCAATTAGAGCAGTATCTGCCAGGGTTGTGCAAGCACAACAAACATGTAACTTGCTGACTAGGGCTCTTCATTGCTGAAGTCTTCTCGACCGTAGGCCAGAAAGAGCTACACCCAGCGTGCCTGTCCGGGTGATGCCTTCGCTGGCACCACCTGGTGATGGGTCAGCTGCTCGGAGTTCATTGAGAGACAGTCGCTCTTCTTTTGCTATAATCGCTTGATCTGCAACGGGTTGCAGGTGCCACCGCATTTGGCGTCGAGTGCACAAGAAGTGCCGGGAGCAGACGGACGAAAGCAAGGAGTGGCGAGCCTCTTACATGTGTCCAACTGCGCATTGGACTGCTGCGCTTGCTAGACTGCTACGCTTTGCCTGTCGGAAGTTCTGATCCGTGCAGCACAGGTACAGTCACAAGCGCCATGTTATGGTGAGATGCCCGACTGATTGAACAACGTCCGATGCTTCAAGATTCGTTTAATGAAGGTCTTCACATACAGCGGAAAGCCGGTCTATTCTCGCTATGGTGAAGAGGCGCCAAAGAGCAAAGTTCCTTCTAGTTACTCGTTGAGACCTTCTTGGGTCTATGCTCAGCTCAGGATGGCCTCAGCGGCACCACAGGAGCTCTCTCCGCCATCGTGCCCAAGCCTTGTCATGCCGACTGTGGCTTCTGCCGTTCTGGGTCTCAGTCTGGCTGAATACCAGGTCAAAGATGGCCAAATTTTTCTTCTGTGACGGACCTGCAGCAGATTGCCTGAGGCATTGCATTCCTTTGTGTAGTGGGAGCGCTCTGTGCGTTGCAGGCAGGTCTCAAGCAGCGGCTTAGGCTGGTAGAGAAGGGAGGAATACTGGCAGCGGAACACAGGAAGCCTTGGGGGCCTTAGACAGGACAATGGGAGATGCAAACAGAATCTGTGAGGGGAGCTTGTGGTAGTCGGATATTTCACGTTTTTTGGAGGTTGACATTACTCTACAGGACTCTTCCTTCTAACATCGCTTGCATTCTACATGCGTCTCCCTTCTCAAAATTCAGTGAGGTTTCTGGGTGCTGTAGGATGACCAAGCATGACATGTTCTTTACCTGGAGGTACATGGTTGCAGGTGATCACATTTTTGCCTTTCTGGAGAAAGGGCCCCTATGGTTCGCGTCCAAGTTAGCGCATGTGCATCCGCGAGATTCAACACTTTTTGTCTCGCTATGTCTCACTGTTTCGACAGGTTGGTCTGCATCTCTAGCACTGGTGATCTTTATGGCGACATGGTCTGCTTGTTGGAGTCGGACCCTCACACCTTGTTGCGAAGTTTCTGCTTCGCTCTGTCGATTGCAAGACTGGGGCCTGACGTCTTTGCATTCCGAAGTCATGATCATGCGGCATGGTCTTCCCTAGATGAGACTGCTTTTCAAGCTCCGCGTGGCTGAGGCGAGTTCATATGCAAATCATTACGATCCTCACCGCAGGAATCGACCCTTGGAAGAAGTCAAGACATACTTGGATACTCTAGGCTCCTGGCAGGCAGACGTGGACGGTAACATGCATAATGAGTCTTCTGAATCTCTTGTTCAAAGTCATCTGATGTAAGTTAACCACTAATGCGAGTGCCGCCTTGAGTGCGGCAGAAATGGAGCCATTTGAGGAGAGAACTTTGGTCAGCCGTCCGAACTACGACATGAGAGGTCTGCTTGGAGGCCATTGCAGATTGTGGTGAGTTCTGCCATCGTCCTCTGTGCCTTGTTCGGTTCAGGCACTGAACAGGTCGTCAACAGCATGGTTCGGTGGTGCGTGCAGGACGTGTAAGCTGATTCATGCAGCTTTCTTAGAAGTTGCGCTTGCAGTGATGACCATTGTGGAGCATGCAGGACATGTTCTTACAGTGCGAGGGATTCGAACCGCTTCCTTTGGCTCCATCTGTTCGCAGTATAGCTACAGAGGTCAGTTACTCAGTTTCCCGCAGCTTTTATCTAAATGAGTGGTTTGAACATGCAGGCGCTGAAGTCAGCGAGACTGCCGAACGTGCTATTTGCATTCTTGATGGTCTTCCTCTCAGTGCAGTCTCCAAAAACACGGGATCCCTTTTCGGAGTCCCCATAAGAAGAATTCTGGTATCCTGGGGATATATTAGTGGATCCCTGTTTGTTGAAATGCCCATTTCTCATAGGGCAGCTGAGCACCTCATTCCAAGGCCGGGCATCGAATTCTCAGCGCTGTCTCGAACAGGTCAAAGGTTCTCATGCTCATGGTTTCTGCCATGCCAGAACTGCGAGGCAGTACCGACTCAATGCTTTGGACTTGGGCATTGATCTTAGCCTCCATGCCAGCTTCAGTACGCAATATTTCTCATGTCAAGGGGGACAAGTGCGTGTGGTATCTCAGGATGTGACGATGCAGTGCGAATTGCTGAGGCATGGTGGTGAACATCATCATGTCCTCAGCCTCACTGCGGACGGGCGAATCTTGGACGCCTGTGTGTATGAGCCAGTACAATGACAAGGCGCTCATCGGCAGTCTCTACTGGGCCAATGCAAAGCTGCAAAGCTCTTGAAGGGTTTTTTGGATGCAAACTCAAGTCTTGAAGGCTACAAAGTGAAGGCGTCAAACATGGTTGCGAACTCTTGCTTTGTGGCAGGGCTTCGCCTACGCTTACATCTCCTTTCTGGAAGGCGCTAAGCCAGATCTACTGCTGCACAAAAGGTGTGTAGTCACGGTCACGAGCAGGATCAGATGTTGGCGTCGTCTTCCTGTCAACAGCTTCCGACGGGGAGCAGTTCTATGCCATCTCGCAACAAGCCGCGCTTGTAGCTTGGCCATTTTCGCAGCATTTTTGCTGGCAAACAACCTACGGAGATGGTGGTCGTATCCTTGCGGGTGCCAGGTGAAGGATGCACTGAAGCAGCAGCATTCCCAGCAGGCTTTTGCCCACAGATCCAGGTGTCCGCACAGTTGCATGTGCAGGCCGGGCTGTGCTGAAGGTCTTGAAGAAGGAATAGGAAGAAGCTTGCATCCAAGAGGCTGGTTGAAAAAGCTTGGGTTTTCATGCCAGAATGTCAACAAGGTCCGATTGACTTGGCCACAGTTTCTCGGGGGACCGTCGGCGCCTGCGATTTTTGCCGTCGGCACAGTCAAGCGTGACACGCGCCTATCGCACGAGGCAGCTTGCGCCGAAGGCAGCCCAGGCGCCTGATGCGCCTGGCACGTAATCTGAGCTCAGCCTGGAGCTGCGCTGTGAGGTGGACGCGCGTCAGCCCCCAGACGATCATTCCTAGTGCGGTGCACAGAAGTGAAGTGAAAGTTTTGCTCTTTCCGCACAGCTTTGCTGCAAAATCTTTTGCGCCCAAGGCACCTGGAGGTCCACAGTGGCAGTCTGCCCGGCAAGAAGCATTTCACGTTGAAGCCGTTGTCCGTTGTGAGGGTTTGCAGTATTTGCTTGCCAGGTTGCTGGAAGGCATCATACATGCAGCGTGACCCTGCTTCTCATCATTCCGTCATTCTGCAATTCTGCTCGTGGGCGCTTTTAGCTGGCCCGAGGCCCCACGTACCTATAGCCTCTCGTGCGTCAAACCTCACAGAATTGGTCTCTAAGCAAGGAAGAGCGTGTAGATTTGAAACCATGGCTCAGAAGCTGCAAATCAGCCTTGAGCACTGGTTGACACGGCCCT